TAATAAGATGCCTCTTTTCTGTTTTTCCCAGGAGGGGAGCATGGAGGAGAAAGAAATGAATGATGGATCACAGATAGTCAGGTCCCAGGTAAGTTCAGTTTTACTTTCCTATGAAATGCCATTATAGTTCTAAGAATGTGGGCACTTTTATGTTTCAATTCTCAGAAGTCCTGAGTCCCAAAAATCCAGAGCCTGGGAGACTCTTGTGACAGATGATATAATCTCTATAGGATGTTTCCCATACACCTTATACACTTCTTCATAGCTCTTCTCTCCTTCTGGCATTTTCACCAGACTCGTTTTCATTGATTCGTGTCTGCACTAGATGTTATAAAGAAAACAAGAGAAACAGTTGACTATCTTTTCATCACTGTACACTTAAACAGCTCACTAGAATTTAAGCAAGCTCTCCATTCTCTCTGTAAACACAGTGAATGATGCCCAGGCCACCAGGACTGCTTGGAGCTAATGGAATTACTAAATATGCTTGAGGATATCTAATACCACAGTTAAGGTTTATCTAGAATCTCTTATCTCTTCCAAAACCTGTTTAAGCCTGTTGTTGTAATTCTATAATTTGACTAGGTGTTATGTAAACTCATGAGATATGAGTGCAACAAGGAGTTGACTCTATGAAAACTATTGGAATGCTTTGGAAAGACTCAAAAATGTGTCACTTTTTAAAAAAATGCTATCAAGTTAGATGTGAGCAAAACTGTAAAACATTGAATAAAAATTAGGAAAATCTCAGGGGGATTCTACACATGTATCATTTCCCAAGTATCATTTGCTTGTTATACTTTAATGAAACAGAAATGAATGCATTGTGGGTATGAACACTCTCTTATTAAAATCACGCTCATAAAAAAAAAAAAAGGCTTTTAGTTCCATGTCAAAAGATGAGAGAATGAATATACACTAATATGTTTTCAAAAGTGTAAAATGTCTTTGATGGATCTCCACCTTCACCAACTTTTTTGCTTAACACACCAGATACTAATTTCAACTGCTTTATATAGGAGAACTTCTGTTGTTCCAGTTATATGAGATAATCGTTATCCTTAGGTAGCCAATAAACTCATTAGAGGGAATTTTTAAAGGCCCTCATCACACAGATAATATTTTAAAATGCATAATGTCAGAAGCTGCTGTGAAAGCAAAAGACAACAAATACAACAGATGCTCAGAGAAGGGAGAAATCTGATTGAGACTGGAAAGGACAGTGAAAACTTCATGAAGAAGGTAAGAGTTTGAATATGTGCTGATACCAGCAGGTAGGGTTTTGAGATTAGAGAAAAGAGGAGACCTGGGCAGACAGGAAATACAATGTGAGCAAGAGCAGGGACAATGAGGAGACTGTCAGCTGGAGCTGAGCATTTATTTGGTACATTAGTGCTTTGGGATCTTTGGGTTTGAAGGAATAGATTCACTTAATTATTGTAACACTCCCCACAGACAGGGACAGAAAGACATCTAGAACTATGGTGGCACATATCTGCTTCGCAGCATTCTAGCCAGAGGAGTTTAATTTTCTGGAACCACTTACCATGTTAAGAAAGAACGTGACTTATTCATTCAATATGTATTTTTTAAGCAGCCAAGATGTGCCAGAAATTGTGCTTGGCATCATTTACACATCAGTGAGAAAAACAGACATGCTTCTAAACCCAAGGGACCATACTGACAGACATTTAGCAAATATACTAATAAATTGCTAATGAGATGTTTTTTATTCTTATTTTGCATTGTTACCTTGCATTATTTTGCATTATGAATGTGCATTAGGGAATCAGGGAAACTTCCTGGGGAGGCCAAATTTAAGGTGAAATACAAAGGATATGTAGGAGCATTAAAAAGTAAGTAGAAGGGCCAAGCCCATGGCACACTTGGGAGAGTGCGGCGCTGGGAGCGCAGCGGCGCTCCCACCGTGGGTTCGGATCCTATATAGGGATGGCCTTTGCACTCACTGGCTGAGCGCAGTGCAGCCAGTCTCAAAAAGGACAAAAAAAAAGTAAGTGGAAAATAGCATTTTAGATACATGCTAAACATGTGCAAAAACCATGGATATATTAGAAATTAAAAGACAGCCGCCATGGTCGGAGTGGAGGAAAGGAGAGAGTGACTTGAGATGTGCTTGGAGAAGTGAGCAGGGGCTAAATACACAAAGTTCCATGGCCAGGAAAAGAAGTTTGTGGTTTAGTCTAAGTGCAGTGGAAAGCTTTTGAGGGAATTTAAGTAGGAAAGTAATGTAAGTAATCCAATTCTACCTTAAAAATCACCATGGTGCTATATAATAACTGAATTTATAGGAGGCAAGAATTGAAGGGGAAAAGGAAGCTATTCTAAATTATAGAAAATAGCCTAAAACTAGCAGTTGGAGGAAAATACGTGGATTTGAGTGCTTTGCTTTGGAAACAGCAGATATTAGCTAGAGAGATAAAGGCAAAGGAAAAAAAAAGATTTCAAAGAATGTAACCCAGGAAATGGCACGGTAATGGTAAATCAGATCACATCACTCCTCTGCTCAAACTGCGGGGCTTCTGTATTACTCAGTAAAAGCCAAAGTTCTTATGAAGGCCTAAACAGTCCTACAGAATGTGGCCCTGTTACCTCTCTGACTGCATCATTTATTTTTCTCCTCCTTACTCCACTCTAGTCACCCTGGCCTTCTTCTTCCTTGAACATGCCAGGCACACTCTTGCCTTAGGGCCTGTGTACTGTTAACTTTTCAAATTTTTTCTCATGTCACCTCTACAGTGATCTTTCCTGATCACTCTATTTAAATTTGCAACTGCCCCATACCCACATTCTCAAACCTTTACCCTACATATTTTTATCTTCTAACATAATATATAATTTACCCAATTATCCTATTTATTGTCTACTTTCCTTATAGAATGCAAGCTTCATAAAGGCAGGGAGTTTTCATCTCTTTTGTTCACTAATATATCCCAAGCACCATGCTTGACACATAGTGAAAGAAAGTGAGCCGAGATGCCAGGTACCAATCAAGCTTTATTAAAGGAAAAGAATCTACCAGGCTGTGCTCAAAGTGGAGGGCAGCCAGGGGCTGCCCTGAAGTTGGAGGACAGCACCAGGTTTGGGGATGAGAGAGCTTATATAGGGCACCAAGGACTGGCTGATCCAATCAAGGAGGGGCATTATGCTAATGTGGAAGCTATGCAACCAGGGTGGAGAATTGTGCCCTTGCAGAAGTAAAAGGGTTTCTGTTTAAGTCAGGAAGCTTCTTGTAAAGGGAAGGGGGAGGGGTTTAGTGCTGGAGTGGAAGACAAGGCCAGTGGCTGTTTTGTGCTTATTGTGTGCGCAATGGCACTGGTCACATCCGAAATCCATCATTCCCACCTTACAAGTATAAGGAGAAGGGGAAAAGGGGTGAAGGTCTCATTCTTCTGAAGCTACTTCCTGCTGGAGATTGGCAAAGATATGAAAAAAATAAAAAGATTTCTGTTGGGTAAAACAATTAGTTGGTGGGTTATTGGTTTCATGTGGGGAGGCTGTATTCTTCTGGGGAAGGGTTGCTGATTCTGAGGGGCTAATATCCTCCTCGCAGGAACAATTCGGTGACCTTATGGTTGGTGAAAGTCCGGATTCATTCCTGCAAGAAATTAGAGAAACACCAAAAGAGACAGGGACCAAAAAGTAGGCTGAGTCCCAGCACAGTTAGGGGTCCTAGTAGGGGCATAAGCCAGGGTATCCAAGAGTTCAGTGACTAGGGCCACCCCCCAGATATGTTTGCATTTTGTAACCCTTTGCATCGGCGATCAATGCTTGCTTTTAAATGGTTTAAGTTGTTTTGGATCACCCCAGACTCATTTATGTAAAAACAGCATTCCTCCCCCAAGAAGAGGCAGATGTCTTCCTTCTCGGCTGTAAGGAAGTCAAGGGCCTTACTGTAAAGCGACTGTCGTGAGTGAGGTGACCTGTTTGTTGCTGGGGGGAGGAGACAGTATCTATTCTTAGTTCTTCTGAGAGTTTTTGATACAACTGAGAGGCAGTAGCAAGGCCCACTAATACCAGTCCCAGTTGCAGGAAGGATCCCTGCCCCAATTAAAAGGGTACAATTAGTGCCTTATGGGAGTGGGGGGGCACTTCCTGAGGGCAGGGGCTAAAGTTAGTCCCAGTTCCTTCTCCATCTCTCCATCTGTCTGGAGGGTGATGTCGGGATGAGCCAAACAAATATGCAAGAAATTGTGTTCGGGAGCAGGCAATAGGATAACATAGTTTTACAAAGGAAATACATTCTGGTTTTAGGGCATGGAGGAGGAGGGGTAAGTCAGTGGTCATGTTTGGTGGTGTTAGTAAGGCAGAGTGTGGGCAGGCCCCACACAATGCTGACAGTCCCCACTGAGGTGCATTTAGGGGAAAGTGAAGAAACGTTTGTGGTCACATTGCGGGCTGCATTGACAGGGAGGGGGGTGACCACAAAAAGTTTCTCATGAAGTGGGAGACAGATGAGTCCCTCGGGGACCAGTCTGATTTGTTGAGGACTGCATCGTCCCTGCGGACCTGGAATCTCCATGTTCCAGGTAAGGGGGAGCATTGAGATAAAAGGTAGAACACAGGAAGGATGTGAAAGGTTAGGGAGCCAAAAGAATTTAAAGGGCACATTGCCACAGTGAAATTGCTAAGAAGCATCCTACCAATAGGAGGTAAAGGAGTGCCAGGAGAAATCTTCCTATAATGTTACACTTCTTTGGGGCAGCACTGGCCAATCCTGTAGCAAGTACTAGAACAGGTAGTATAATAAAGGTTAAGGACATGGGATCACTTATACTTATCATGTCCCACAATGGCAAACCCGTGATAGCAGGTCAGGACCAGTCTTAGAGCAGCTCTTGTGTGAAGGACATAAAGGGGGCCTGCAAGAGTGAAAGGATAATCGCTGGGGGAAAGATCATCCTTCTGGGATTGGGGGAAGAGTGGAGGTCCTGGAGATTTTTAGTTTTGTGGGTCCTAAAATGGATGAAGTGTAAGGAGATGTTGAGTTGGGGGTTGAACAGAGGGACCCTTCAGGCTTGGTGTTAACAGATTCTTTGGGTAAAGTCTCAGGTGCTAGTTTTGCCAAGG